CTGGCCACCCCTGCCTGGCAGGCACGTGGGCTGGCTGAGGCCGCACCACCCTTGGTTGGAGAAGCACCAAGGGACAGAACGAGGATCGGGGTGCCGCTGGGAACAGCCCCAAAGTCCTCACATCTGGGTGTCCCTTGGGGCTCTGGCCGCTGTCAGACGGAGCCATGGAGACACCAGAAGCCTGCGCCCACCACGTGCCCAACGTGGATGTCCAGGCCTCCGTGATCCAGCTGCTGGCATTCCCTGGGGCCCTTGGGGTGACCGGGGACAGAGCCGCCGTTGCTCTGGGCTGGGCTCACAGGACAGAGCGGGGCCGATGGCACCTCCGGGTCTCCATGCTGCCACCCGTGCTGAAAACTCACGGTGTGCGAATGCCGCTGCCGTGGCCACCACCCCTCTCCTGGCCAGCAGCCAGCCCGAGCTGCGGGCCGCACGCACCCCCCACGCCTCCCCGTCCCGTCCCCTCCAGCCCCAGAGTCCCATCTGGCTTGTGTGACTGGGCATGAAAGACCGGCCTGATGCAGGTGGAGCTGGAGCCCTGGTCCCCCGGGGCCTCCTGTTGGCTGCCGGGGCCCTGACCACCCAGCCCCGGGCCTCAAAGCGCCTCTGTCAGTGGCACATTTTCTAAGCGTTCAGCAGGTCGGGGAGGTGCTGGGAGGGAGGATGGGAGGTTGACATTGGCCTCCCCTGGGCCAGCCGCCTCTCTCTAGAAATGGGGGTCCTGGGACAGGGAAGGGGGCCCTGGGACAGTCCAACTTCCCAGCCGGGGGTTGTGCGTTTCATTAAGATCCCTAAAAATGTAGCGGGTGAAGCGCGGGAACGAATTCCCCACGCATCTTAGCTGGGAGAATGGCTGACGCAGAAGGAATTTGCCAAATGGTTCCATATGCGGCGGTCACCACGCCGCCGCCGGGGCGCCCGGCCCCCCCAACCAGCCACGGCCTCCCATGCCAGGCCGGTGAAGTCGGATTCCAGAGATTGTTTCGGAGGGGGGGGGGTGTCTGTCAGAGCCAGCACCCTCCCAAGACCCTGATCGCTGCTGCCCACCACGCCACGGCTGGCAGAGCCACAGCCAGAGATGGAAGGGAGTCCCGAGAGAGACGGGGTCCAGGGGCATCTGCCTGAATTCCCCACAGGTCCCCAGGCTTCCGTACCCCATCGAAGACCACCGAGTCCCAGAGAGACACGCACTCCGGGCCCACACTGAGGTCACAAGGTAGCTGGTGGGGACAGAGGGAAGGGACGATGTGCAGCGCTGTCTGCAACACCTGACGCTCGAGGGGGGCTGCTCACGGCCAGCATGACATCACCGCCACAGTTGTCACCAGCAGGATTATCACCACCATCACCACCACCACCACCACGACCTTCATCGCCATCACAATGCTCACCATGGCCACCTCTGAGATGCTGGTCACAGATACCGCGCCTTCAGTACCATCCAGGCTCTGACCAGAGCGCAGCATGGGGGTTCCCCTCTCTGCTCCCCAGGCTTCCCCCCGGGAATGCTTCTGTCCCATTTGGCAATGGGAGGACTGAGGCAGGGCTCAGAGCTGCCCAGGTCATGGCGGAGCCCCGGGCCCGGAGGCCTAGGCCCCAAGGGCAGCTGGGAACCCAGCTGTGCCCATTTCCCATGATGCAGAGGGAGGAGAAGGCCCCGCCCCGACGTGGAGGCCACGTGACTTCCACTCCCCTGAGCCCGTGGCTGGTCACACTACTGTCCCCAGGCTCGGGGCTCACCCAATGAGGCACAAGGGTTTTGGGGGAACCCCAGCAGAAGGCTCTAAGATGTCAGATAAGTGCACGGGGGTGTCTCTCCAGAGAGAACCTCCCACTTGACACGTGGAAACCCAAACCAACTTGAGGTTCTTCTCCACCTCTGAGCTGCCTCGGTTTCCCCATCTATACAGAGTGCCAGGGCTCCACCGGCACAAAAGGCCCACCGGGGCCTGGGGAGGGGGGTGTCTGCCGCCATGAGGCTCTGAGGGTGCTTCCGTTCTTCCATGGCTTCAAGAACAGAACCCTTCAAGTGCCCGCAGACCCCCGGACCACCCCCCTGGTTCTTTAAGATGTCCAGGCAGCCGGCCAGCTTCTCCTTCCAATTAAACGCCCCATTTGGCTGGCTGGCGGGCCCCCAACTGGAAGAGGGGGCTGCCTGCTACTGCCACTGTCTGGATGTAATTTGGGGGGCAGGAGACTTAGGAAGAGGGGAGGCGTCTGGATGAAGCAGCGGCCCCTCCTCCTCCTGCTTCGGGGAGGAAAAGTGTCCACACGGCCCCCTGCGTAGGGGGGAGGCGGAGGGAGGGGGGACATGGCCCCCTGCGTAGGGGGGAGGCGGAGGGAGGGGGACAGGAGGGACCGCAGCCCTGACAAACTCCTGCAGGATCCGTAGGACCATGCCAATGACTTTCACCGCAGGTGCTGTTACAAGACGGGGAAACTGAGGCTCCCGGTTGAAAAGGCTGAGCCAGGGCACAGCAAGTCAAGAACAGAAGATAGTTCTGGACCCCAGGGCTCTCCTTACCCCCAGAGCTTCCCCCGAGCTCTGGGAAGCCCCAGAGAGCCAGGAAAGAATCCCCAGAGCCGGCATGCACACATACACGCATGCACACACGTGCGTGCACGCTTGGGGCCCTCGCCCTTCCCTGTCCAGGCTGAGAAGGGCATTTGACGAAACTGAGGAAAGCTAAGAGCAAAGCCAGGTGCCCAGGGAGGAAGCGGAGGGAAGATGAAAGGCAGAGGCCCCGCTCCCTCCCCTTCCAGAAGCTTCCACAAGCACTGCTGGTCTCCTGATGACTTCCATTTGTGGATGCCTGGCGACCCAAGCAGCCGTGGTGCCGGGCCGTGTGGCTGAGGGGACCCGTCAAGTGGGGGGCCCGTGACCCGGAAACGTCTATCTGGGCCTGTGATCTGATTGCCAGACGGGCCTCTGCCTGCAGCCAAAGAACAGGAAATCTGTCTGAAGGGCAAGATAAATAGCTGCCCCCATCCCCCCCCCCAACTGTGATCCGCGAGCTAGGCCGCCGCCCACAACCAGGCCGATTCTATGCATCTCAGGCCGCGCCTGGCCGCGCTGACCCCAGAGGCTACTTCAGGAGGCCCTTGTCTGAGACCCGTTGAACTCTCTAATTCAAGGTGACAGCAATGGTATTTCATGCCAGGTTCCAAAGGCACAGCTTCCTGTTTTGCAACGGACTTGCGCCTGATTTCAAGGCAAATTAAAAACTGCTCAAAAAGCCAGGCACTGGTGCTCACTCGTCATCCTAGCTGTTCAGGAGGCTGAGATCTGAGGCTCGCAGTTCAAAGCCAGCCTGAGCAGGAAAGTCCATTATAGATAGATAGATAGATAGATAGATAGATAGATAGATAGATAGATAGAGATAGATAGATAGATAGAGATAGATAGGTAGATAGATAGAGATAGATATCTCCAACTAAAAACCAAAAAGCCAGAAGTGAAATCTGTGACTCACGTGCCAGCCTTGAGTGAAAAAGCTCAAGGACTAACTTCAAGCCCCAGGACTGGCTTGTGCACGCATATACACACAGACACACACTCATACACACACACAGGGATACACACACAGAAGAAGCTAAAGCCACCCTGGACTCAGAGCTAGGTCCCCCAGGGAACGCCTCCTCCTCCCCCCTTCCCGGCCTCTCTCCGCTTCTCTTCAGCTTTGATGGTGCCCCTTGTCCTCACACCAGAGGGACAAGCAGCTGATCCGATCTTCTTGTGCCCCGGGGCCCGGCTTTCATAACAGCCTTGGTACCTGTGCCACTTAAAGCCCTGCTGCCCTGGCTGGGACTGGGAGGGGTTTGGAGTACCCAGGTGAGCTGAGGACTCCCACGGCCAGGGGCAGGTACTGCCCAGCTGTGGAGCCTGGAGCTGCTGCTGAGGTGCGGGAAACTCCGCTGAGCCCCAGACGGCGGGTACCCCACTCTGCCAGGGGCAGCGCAGGGTCGCTCCCCATTTTCATGGGAGGTGAACTCCCCAGGGTCACAGGAAAGTGGGTCCTGTGTGGGCGGATACGCAAAAGTCACCTGCCTGCTAGATGGCCACTGAGCATCCATAGCTGGACAGAGTGGCCAGTCATGGTCACTGGAATATTCTCCATACTGGAAGGAGTTAGAACCTTTAGAAGGTGGGGCCTAATGAGGAAGAGAGGCCGCTGGGTGGGGCTGGGCGGGAGGAAGGGAGGCCGCTGGGTGGGGCCGTGGGTGGCTGTAGTGTCCTGGAGACCTCCCTGTGAGAAGCGCTTGTCTCTTCCTCTCTCTTTGCTGTCTGACAGCTTCCTTGTCACCAGCCCCACACACATGCACTCTCCACTGCCCCAGGCCCAAAGCAATGGGGCCACCAGCTGTGGACTGAAGCCTCAGGAGTCGTGAGCAAAAATGCTTTTCCTCTGTGAAGCTGATGACATCCGACATCCGACATGCGGAGGCAGAGACAAATGAGGTGCCTGGCTGGCCAAAGGAAACCCGACCCAGGGCGCTGCCCGGGCAGGGATGTGTCCCGAGCAGCTCTGCCCACCCACGGTACCCCCATCCCTGTTTTGTTTTTTTTATCTATGAAAGAATCCATTCTACATAAAGGTCCTGATGTCTTGGCTTTGTCTCTGCCCTATCAGTACCTCCAGCTTTCCCAGGGAGCTTCTGCAGGCAGACACCACCCCCCATCACCACCCCTGGCCTCCATCACCACTCCTGGCCTCCATCATCACCCCTGGCCTCCATCACCACTTCTGGCCTCCATCACCACTCCTGGCCTCCATCACCACCCCTGGCCTCCATCACCACCCCTGGCCTACATCACCACTCCTGGCCTCCATCACCACTCCTGGCCTCCATCACCACCCCTGGCCTCCACCACCACTCCTGGCCTCCATCACCACTCCTGGCCTACATCACCACCCCTGGCCTCCATCACCACCCCTGGCCTCCACCACCACTCCTGGCCTCCATCATCACCCTGACCTCCATCACCACCCCTGGCCTCCATGACCACTCCTGGCCTCCATCACCACTCCTGGCCTCCACCACCACTCCTGGCCTACATCACCACCCCTGGCCTCCATCACCACCCCTGGCCTCCATCATTACTCCTGGCCTCCATCACCACCCCTGGCCTCCACTACTGCCCCTGGCCTCCATCACCACTCCTGGCCTCCATCACCACTCCTGGCCTCCATCACCACTCCTGGCCTCCATCACCACTCCTGGCCTACATCACCACCCCTGGCCTCCATCACCACCCCTGGCCTCCATCACCACTCCTGGCCTCCATCATCACCCTGGCCTCCATCACCACTCCTGGCCTCCATCATCACCCCTGGCCTCCATCACCACTCCTGGCCTCCATCACCACTCCTGGCCTCCATCATCACCCTGGCCTCCATCACCACCCCTGGCCTCCATCACCACTCCTGGCCTCCATCATCACCCTGGCCTCCATCACCACTCCTGGCCTCCATCACCACTCCTGGCCTACATCACCACTCCTGGCCTCCATCATCACCCTGGCCTCCATCACCACCCCTGGCCTCCATCACCACTCCTGGCCTCCATCATCACCCTGGCCTCCATCACCACCCCTGGCCTCCATCACCACTCCTGGCCTCCATCATCACCCTGGCCTCCATCACCACTCCTGGCCTCCATCACCACTCCTGGCCTACATCACCACTCCTGGCCTCCATCATCACCCTGGCCTCCATCACCACCCCTGGCCTCCATCACCACTCCTGGCCTCCATCATCACCCCTGGCCTCCATCATCACCCTGACCTCCATCACCACCCCTGGCCTCCATCATCACCCTGGCCTCCATCACCACTCCTGGCCTCCATCATCACCCTGGCCTCCATCACCACCCCTGGCCTCCATCACCACCCCTGGCCTCCATCATCACCCTGGCCTCCATCACCACCCCTGGCCTCCACTACTGCCCCTGGCCTCCACTACTGCCCCTGGCCTCCATCACCACCCTGACCTCCATCACCACCCCTGGCCTCCATCACCACCCCTGGCCTCCATCACCACCCCTGGCCTCCATCACTGGCTTTGCCTTCTTTCTGTCTGCCTGAGCGACTCAGGGCTGGGCCTAGGCAAGGGAGTGAGAGTCGGAGGTGGTTTGGGCCCTGCGGCCCTGTCTCCTGACTCCATTTAAACTGTCCAAACCTCACCTGGGGCACCAAGCCCCGCCTGGCCCCACTGACGAGGGCAGTAGAGGGCAGAGGGGCAAAGGGGGCCCCAGGGTGGCGATGCCAACCAGCAAGCCTGCATCTTCACACCCCTCCGTGATGACCCCACGGGAGAGACAGACGGCCGAGACGGTGTCCCTCCCCCGTCCCTCACAGCACAGGGAAGAGCGAACTAAGCTCTTCCCTCAAGAGACTTCTAGGAAGAACCCTGCTGTGAAAGGGGTGGTCTCTCCTAATGGCATGGTGAGGGTGATGGTGGTGATGATGATGGTGGTAATGGTGATGATGGTGATGGTGATGATGATGATGATGTTGATGATGGTGGTGGTGATGGTGATGTTGATGATGATGATGGAGATGGTGGTGGTGATGATGATGAAGATGGTGATAGTGGTGATGATGGTGATGATGGTGATGATGATGGGATGATGATGATGGAGATGGTGATCTGGGACAGTGATGATGACCATGAGGATGATGGTGATGGTGATGATGATGATGGTGGTGGTGATGGTGATGATGATGATGGTGGTGGTAATGGTGATGATGGTAGTGATGATGATGATGATGATGGTGGTAGTGGTGGTCGTGACGTTACCAATAAGTGACTGTCCTCGGGCTCCTGTGCTCCCCTACCTACAGATCATCTGGATTGTTCCAGCCCTTCTCTCTCCCGTCCTGGTGGAACCCACAGTCTGGGCTCCTTCCCTGACGCTGCTGTAGCAGATCACCACTGAAGAGCGGCACCGCTCTTCAGTCCTGGTGGTGAGAACCTGCGCCAGCCAGCCAGAGCGAGTCCAGACTGGCACCAGTGCTGGGGACGGAGTCCCCCGCTGTCTCCAGGGCCGATGGACGGGTCCCCGGGAGCCGCTGTCTCCAGGACCCGGTGGATGGGTCCCCAGGAGCCGCTGTCTCCGGCGCCTGCCCCCTGCCGGGCAGGGCTCAGCCTGGTCCCCGTCCTCAGCCTGGTCCCCATCCTCGGCCGCTCCCCGAGCCAGGCCCCGCCCGCGGCTCTGCAGCCCCACGAAGGCCAGGCCCGGGCTGGCGCGACTCAGCCCCCGGGGCTGAGATAAATGCAGAGATAGACGAAGAGGCCACCTGGTCTGCGATGGCGGAGGTGATGTCACCCTCCCGGCCGCCATCCCGGGCCTGGTGACCGCCCGAGGGGGCGTGGGAAGGACGGGGGGGGGGGCAGTCCGCAAGAGGGTCGCCAGTGCTCGGTGGGGCCGAAGAGCCTGGGTGTGGGGTATGGCAAAGCCGCGCCTGCGCCCAAATCAACCCCAGTGGTCCCAGAGCCGCTGTCTGTCTGCCCTCCTGCTCCGGAGCGCCCCGCCCCTGCCACGCCCACCCCAGCTGCCACACCCACCAGGATAGCCACTCCCCTGCCACACCCACCCCGGTGCTCGGCCCCAGCCACGCCCCTGCCACGCCCACCTGGCTGCCATGCCCCACCAGGATAGCCCCATCATGCCTGCCACACCCTGCCACGCCCACCCTGGTGCTCCGCCCAGCCACGCCCCTGCCACGCCCCTGCCACGCCCACCTGGCTGCCATGCCCCACCAGGATAGCCCCACCATGCCTGCCACACCCTGCCACGCCCACCCTGGTGCTCCGCCCAGCCACGCCCCTGTCACGCCCCTGCCACGCCCACCTGGCTGCCATGCCCCACCAGGATAGCCCCATCATGCCTGCCACACCCTGCCACGCCCACCCTGGTGCTCCGCCCAGCCACGCCCCTGCCACGCCCCTGCCACGCCCACCTGGCTGCCATGCCCCACCAGGATAGCCCCATCATGCCTGCCACACCCTGCTACGCCCACCCTGGTGCTCCGCCCAGCCACGCCCCTGTCACGCCCACTTGGCTGTGGAAACAAGTTCAGGGTGCCGGTGGTTCACGCCCATCATCCTAGCTACTCTGGAGGCTGAGATCTGAGGATCCCAGTTCAAAGCCAGCCAGGCAGGAAAGTCCGAGAGACTTATCTCCAATTAAACACCAAAAAAGCCAGAAGTGGAGGTGTGGCTCAAGTGGTAGAGTGCCAGCCAAAGCCATGTTGTAGGCTTCCCTGAGTCCTGCCTGGCCAGATTCCTGGATGGAGAGGCCTGCCAGCCTCTTTTTTTTTTTTTTTCCTTTTTTTTCTTTCTTTCTTTTTTTTTTTTTTTTTGCTGGTCATGGAGCTTGAACTCTGGGCCTGGGTGCTATCCCTGAGCTCTTCAGCTCAAGGCTAGCGCTCTACCACTTGAGCCACAGCGCTACTTCTGGCTTTTTTTTCTGCTTATGGGTGCTGAGGAATCGAATCCAGGGCCTCATGCATGCAAGGCAAGTATTCTACCACTGAGCCACCTTCCCACCCCCTCATTGTAATCAGTAATCAATTGGTGTGCATCCAGGGTCACCAGAGAGTTATACCATCTTGTTCGGAATCCAGTCACATGGTGTGACCTGCAAACTCTGGGTTCTCCATTTCTAGCTACCGGGGTTCCACTTGGCCCAGGAAAGCCATGGCACCCTATCAATGCTGTCTGCCACCCAGGACCCAAAGCTAAGTTGTGTGGGAAAGTTAGGAGCTTTTCACAGGAAAAGCAGCTCTGGAAATGATCAGAAAGCATTAAAGAAGCAAACTGCATTTGGCGTGGTGGCAGCTGGAGGTGGGGGAGGGCAGGCAGCCGCTTGGTTAGGGGGCTGAGGCAGATAACAGGTCTGCTCACCCAATTAGGCAGGGAAATGGAAAAGCCACCAGGATTCACCACCGAAACTCCCCCATTACTTCTGAGCATAGACTGATTGTTGTTAAAGAGGGGAGCTATTTGCACCCCCTAACAAAGGCAATGTGGGGAGCCCCTGGCTGCAAAGGAAGATGCATGTGGACACAGGAGTCAGCCGGCTGAGCTCCCCCAAAATGCCCAGACTTGAAATAAATCAGTGAAGCAGCAGATGTGCGGTTCCAGGAGCCGGATGGCGTCACAGGCCGTGACATGAGATCGCTTCTGATAAGATGATCACAGCCCAGCTGTCTGGCTGTCAGTGGAAGAGGGGAGATGGCGGCAGTACCCCAACACTGCACGCCCCACAGGGTCAGCTGGCGGTGGGGGGAGCGGGGCTGGAGAAAACCTGCCTGGCACAGGCTTTGAAATTTGAGATCTCCATTAAGCAAACAGACCTGAGAGTCACAGGCGGCAGGTTGCAGAGTTGGGGGCCCTGGGGCACCCTGCCCACCCGCTGAAGGAGAATGCATGCAGAACTCTTCCCCTGTGCCCTCTGGTGGCCTCTGCGTGGTATCTCCAGGGGGGTGTGGAGTGTGAGTTCCTGCATGGACCGGGCCTCGCAGAGCCCAGAGTGCCAGGGTCCTGGGTAGGGGAGAGGCAGGGGCCCAGGAGGGCACAGCCCACAGAAAGGAAGGAGAAGGTGCTGGCAGAGTGGCAGGAAAGGATCCTTGGGGCTCTTACTGTGCTTTGTGCTGGTAGGATGCTGTCTCTGAGATGTACCGCTCTACCACTGGAGCCACGGTGCCACTTCTGGGATTTTTTTTGGTGCATGATTGGAGAAAAGAGGCTCCCAGACTTCCCTGCCCGGGGGCTGGCTTTGAGCCTCGATCCGCAGATCTCAGCCTCCTAGGTAGCTAGGCTTACAGACATGAACCACAGGCGCTCGGCTGGAATTCTTACTCTTGAGCCAGAATCATCGGTGTCTACTCCTGAGCCCCTCGCCTCAACTCCCTGCTTCCAGTCGTCCTCCAAAATGGTCTTTGGGGCATTGTGTTTCCAAATTGGATCGACTCTGCCTTGGGCATCGTCCCTGTGGTGCCTTTGTTCTGGTCTGGCTCTTCTGAGACGGGTCTGGGGTGGACCCTTGAGACACCTCGGGTTTTTGGTCCTCTAGGCTGGGGACGGTGTTAGGGAGCCCTGGCCTGTGCTGTGCACCTCCACATTTTAACAGTTCCCAAAAGCGTGCCTTCCCTCTCCCCCTCCAGGCCACACTGGCCCATGTGGCCCCTGCCGTCCTTTGGGTGGGGTGGGGGCGGGGCTGGGGCCACAGCGCTTGGTGAGAATTACCTGGGAGGAAGAGAGGACCAGAGATCTTTTGGGGTCCCACGAGAATGGTTCTACAGCCTGGGGGGGAGGGGAGGGGACAGAGGAGGGTGGCTGAGGAGGCTGTGACCTGAGGCCCAAGCCCAAGCCTGGGAGCTGTGCCCACGACCAGCCACGGCCAGCAGAGCCGACGCCCAGGGCCTGGCTCTGCTTCTCTAGTCTGAGGCTCAGCAGGGACACAGAAGAGCAGCAGAAGCCCTGCCATCGCTGCCTGTCCTGCTCGCCCAGGAAACGCCGTGGACGGGAGCCTCAGGTGCTGGGGAGTCACCACAGCCAGGTTGGGCCACCAGCCGGCCCGGGCCACGCTTCAGAGGAACCTCCCTCCCAGGCCTGAGGCTTGGGGACGGGAGCTGTGCCAGGGGTGCCAGGAAAAGGGGCTGGGAGGAGGAGGTGCCCGCCCGTGACAGGTGAGGGGCTCTGCCCTCCGGGAGGGAATTCTCACCGCGGCCACCTCGGTGGCAGAGGCAGACGGCCCTTCCACAGACATCTGCCACCTGGCCCGCAGCGCTTGTGTTCCCGGAGGAGGCCGAGGCGAGGCGGGCGCTGGAGGAGGGAGCCGCAGCCCAGGGCGGCTCTGTTTACACTCAGCGCTGGCCACGGCTCCCACGGGCTCCGGTGTCGGTGCACAGGTGGCCTAGGTCTGTGCCCCAGACCGTCCCCTCCCTCCTCCCTCCTGCCCTCGCCTCTCCCTTCCCTTCCCT